CGCAGCGTTCTTGAACGGTCGGAGCAGACAGGACCTACCTTGGGCCCTGCGCTTGCAAAAAAAAAAGGCTTGGGGGGCTTAGGGTTTTTAGGGTCGCAGAAGGAGCCCGTCTATCAGGAACATTTGAGATTGAGGGGCTAGTAGGTTTTTTATTGTAGAATATGTATGTGTATATATAGATACAAGCACACGGTATAGTTTTTATTCAGCTAATGTTTCTTATGGGGGTTTTGGACGGCTGAGCCGCAGCTGTCGGTCTGTCTTCTGTTTGCAGGGAGCGGGGTTCGAGGATTGAAAATGGGTATCTTGGCGAGGGCTTTGTTGAATTGAAGGTTTGGGGTTGTTAGGGCCTTAGGAATGTTTCGCAATCTCTCATTCTGAGAGAGCATGCAGGTGACGATGCAGCCGTGGACATTCACAGAGCCCGAAGAAGGCAGAATCCAATGCCAAGCCCAGAATCGCCAGAACCCCAGCACTAAGACAACAGACAGCAAGAAGCACTGTAGTTTTGTAGGGCTTCTCCTGTCGACCCCTTGGTGAAGCATGAACGGCTACCACAAGTCCGAGCACGGAAAAAGCCGTGCAGATCCAGGGAGCACACGCTGGGTTTACAACAAGTTCCTGCGAACTCAGACCAAGCTGCGCTGGGTCTGTGGGCTGTGCAACGTTTGGTGCAAGGATGCAGCGGTGTAGTAGGTTACCTTTTTCGGAGATAGTTGTGTCATACGCCTCCTTGATTTCCATTTAGTCTTCGGAAGGTCCGAAGGCACGTCGCAACTCTTACTTTGTGAGGACGAGAACGGCTACAAATGCCACCTGGAGCACGAGAACCACATCCGCAAGTCGGAGATCTCGCGCAAGAGTAAGGCCCGTCAATTCAACATGTCGCCGCGGGATGAGGCTTTCGCGACAAGCTTCGTGCAGTTCCTCGCGCTGAACCTACGGCAGTTTTGGGAAAGACTTTGTGACTCGTAACAGATCGTTCTGTTCTGTCTTGGGCCGCAATTGCAGTTCTTGGGCACCTCTCTTTCTCAGTAAACCTGTCGGTTGGGGCATTGAAACCCGAAGTTAAAATCGCAATCCCTGGAGCAGGGACCCTAAAGAAACCCAAAACCCTAAACGCTTCGCCAGCCCAGGCCTAGACATTACATTTCCATACTTTACGGCTTTGGCCGGTTGTACATGTAACCCTGAGCCGCTAGTTGGGGATTTGGGTTGTGGGATTGGTTTAGGGCTTAGGATTTAGGGCTCAGGGTTTTGGGTCACAGGGTTGAGCAACCAAGGAACTACATGAACCAGAAGGTGCTGCTCCATGAGGCCTCGGTCTCTCGGGAAGTGTATCGTGTCCACGTTTGGCGTCGATGTTGGTGTCTACTTAACCGGTGTTGCGATTCTTAATTATGTTGCCATTGCTATCAGCAGCCTTGTGATGGTGCTCAAGACATCTAAAGTCTAAAAGACGTACATCTCCTGCGCCCCTGATTGTCCAAGGCAGCAGAGACAACCCTTGTCTTTCATACCTCGCTGCACCCCTTGCACCCTGAAGCCAGAGACCTTAAGCCCTTTCCCACAAGTTCGAAGCTCTCCACCCCGAATCTCAAGCCGAGAATCGTAAACCCTAAACCCAAAGCATTAAGCTGAAGCCCGAAAGGTTTACAGGGAGATGTATCCCCACGATCGCAACCAGCGGTTGATGCATGACACCTGCTGGGGCAGCCTCGGTACTTTCATCAATGCCCTCAGCAAGAACGGAGAATGCGAAGCCGAGTCTTGTCGTCGTGGTTTTTTGCAGGCTTTAGGGTTCGAGGGTTGAAGATGCTTGGGCTTAGTGTGGGGTGTGCTCAAGTCAAGGTCAAGTGTAAGCCACTGGTAGTGACCAAGGTAGTGAGGCTTCTTTTTGAGCCTGCCTCTCCGTGCTTGAGATATGATCTGAACTCTAAACCCTAAACCCCATTACAGATTCGGCTGTGCTTTCTGCGTGGACGGTGGGGCGGGTTTGGGATCAACGGTTCGAGGTCGAACTTCGGGCCGCCAGAAGCCTTGCGGCGGAACCCAAACCCCGAAACGCTGCAGCTGCCATGCTGAACCCTCCACAGGCCCAAACCCCTAGCCTGAAGTCCCAGATTATCTTATATCAACTTATACTTTACTATATTTTACTATACTATACTATACTATGTTAGATCATGGTATACTAGACTATACTATACCATACTGTAGTATACTATATTAGATCATAGTATAGTATGTGGTGCTATACTATATTCTATGATATCACATGATAAGGTCTTCCATTACTTGTGTTTGCTATACCTCGAGTATGCCCCGAGCGGAAACCACTTCCGAGGTGAAGGGACCGAAGGGCTGGGTGGTGCGCATCGACCAAGACATGGTGGCTGGGTTGTTGCCATTGAGGGCTTTAGGGGAGTTAGGGGTTTAGGGCTTTGAGGTTTGGGGTTTGGGGTTTAGGGTTTGGGGTTCAGGGGTGTTATATAGTAACAAATAGGGCTTGCTTATGATCGTAGCCTTCGCAGCAACCCAGGTGGTGGCTGCTGAAGCGGAGAAAGACCTCAAGATCTCGTCCTTCATGTTGGCCCAGGAGAGACAGGTTGCTGAAGGTTTACACCGGGTTTACGTCATTTAGGGCGCAGGGCTCAGGGTTGAGAGTTCGCCCTCTACAACAGCCCATCATCCCAATAATCGTACACGTAATCATGGAAATTTCCACGCCAATTAGAAATTGGCAACAATGATAGACATAGTAGTAGTAATGCTGATTCTGGTGATTCAGGTGTCTGATACCATTAGTCATACAGATGAATGATAACTTGCAATGGCAGTGACAGTACTCACAGTACCAAAAGTACAACAGCTTACAATAGTGATAACGATGAGAATAGAACCAACAATGATAGTGGAAATGATAAACATGATGGTGGTACTGCTGTGCAGAATAAGAACCATAATTATGGCCATCATATAACGTGATAAGGAGTCATACTATTGATGCTACTGCCGCTGCTGCGTCTGCTGTTGCCAGTACTGCTACTAATGCTGCTGCTCCTGCTGCTGCTGCTGCTACTACCACTTCTACTACTACCACCACTGCTATGCGACTGCTACTGCAATTGCTACTGCTACTGCTACTGCTAGTGTTAGTGCTAGTGCTAGTGCTACTCCTGCTGCTGCTGCTTCTATTCTTGCTACTACTACTGTGCTGCTGCAACGACGACGACTGACCACTACTAGTTACTATAATATCAGTAATAACCACATTGACACGACAGGACAAGTTATATTCGGATTACCATTACGACTTATTCTCCTTATCACTTTTACGTTGCAACTCAGGAATAATATCAAACAGTAGTGGTATCAAGCAGTAGTGACAATACTAGCAATCACAGTACACTCTTGCATTGACCCAGTCTTGGTACTACTGTTAGCATCGTGTTGGTAAGTAAAGATAAGTAAAGTGTAGGGGTTGGTATTGCTAATCTTAGTGTTGGTGTCCGTATCAGCCTTCTTATTAGTAACGCTATTCTGTGTTATTCCAGTGTTAGTACGCAAACCTCTAAACCCTTAACCCTCTAAGCCCTAAACCCTAAACCCTAACCACTAAATCCTAGGTAGCCGAAACCCCTAAACCCCTAAACCCTATACCCTAAACCCTAACCCCTAAATCCTAAACCCCAAGCCCTAACCCTTCAGTCCTAGCTAAACCCCTAAACTCAGGTACCCTAGCTACTTCAAACCCCTAAACCCCTAAAAGCCCTAAAGCCCCCAAGCCCGTAAACCCTAGGTGCCCTGAAGCCCCCAAAAACCCCTAAAACCCCTGAAAACCCTAAAACCCCTAAAGTCCCTAAAACCCCTAAAAGTCCTGAAAACCCTAGACCCCCAAATATCAGGACGACGTCGAGCAGCCGCCGGTTCCCGAGTCTCGAGGCGAGCGGATGGCGGCCTCATGGGATAGGAACCTGAAGGAGGCGGGGGAAAAAGGGGGGAAAAATATGGGAAAAGGGTGGAAAAAGGGGGGAAAAAAGGGGGGGGGCCCGTCGGGTTCAGGGGTTTTAGGGGTGTTGGGAGTTTTAGGGGTTTAGGGGTTTTAGGGGTTTAGGGGTTTAGTGGTTTTAGGGTTTAGGGGTTTAGGGGTTTAGGGGTTTGGGTTTACTTCAAAAAATCATAGTAAGGAACCCTAAAAAGGTAGGTTGCTTGTAGGGGTCCAGGCTTAAACCCCTCTGAGCCTTTCTGGGCATGTCGGGTTTCGGCATTTTAGGGAGTACCTGAAACAGGAGCCTGTGCTGCAACACTCGACGGTGAGCAAGCATGCTAAGGTTATCAATGCTAGCATGGCGAATGACACATCAACTTGCGATTCCGGTTCGCTCGAATAGCTTCAACTCCCTCCCAGCACTGTCCTACCCTCTGCACAACCAGAGTAAAGACCTCCTTCCACATGGTGGAGGGCCCAGAGGACCTGTTGCGAAGCCTTGAGCCCTAAACTCACCAAGCCCACCACCTCAAGTTTTAAATCTTAATTCTGATGCATTCTCCGTTTATACCCATAGGCTCCATAGTAGTTCCTTTTTGGGATTACCTCATAGGTTCCTACATACAAACCACAAACAGGAACCAGTATGGAGCCTATGGGTATAGCAATCTTTTTTCCATGCAACCTGTTTTCACGCTCTGCCTGCCTCAGCTCAGGCCGCTGCCTCTACCAAGCGGCCCTTTGAGGTGTCCCTGGAGACGAAACACAAGAGGGGGGTGTCGGGTTTTGAAGTAGCCCTAAACCCGAGGCCCGACAAGTTATTTTTACGGATATAGGGTTTGGTGTTTAGGGAAGCCTGAAGAAGCTGAGTAGCGTACTTATCGGGTTCAGCGGTTTTAGGTTGTGGATTTCCTTTCATCGTCCGCGGTGCTGGGTTGTTCGAAATTGGGGTTTAGGAGCCCTAAAGCCTAGACTGCCCTAAACTTCCATGATCTCAAGCACCCACAACACCCCAGAACGACGGCGGTGCCAAGCGCGCGGCCGCAGCGGCACGCGAGGCAAAACGGTTGGCGACGTCCTCCGGGGCACAGGACGTACTTGCAAATAAGTTGTAGCCTGAATCGTAGTGTTATTCCGGATGGGAGGAGCAGGAGAAGGACTGGCAGTGGGCGGGCGTTGGAGTACGAGTAAAAGCAGGAGTAGGCGTTTCTGATGAGTCTGTCAATTCAGACCATCATAGTGATGATCTTGAGGACGACGGTTTAAACCCTAAACCCTAAGAGCTGCGGGGATGCAGGACCCACCAGACAAGGAGGAGGAGATGGAGACGTTAAGCGCCAACCGTGGCAAGGTGGACTCGTCCTCGTCCTCGAAGCTATGTAATGTATGTTGTTTAGTGTATACTATACATTATCCACTGTAGATTATATAAAAAGTACATATCATATCATATATTCTACGCTGTGTATTTTATGTTATCTGTTTTACATTTCATATTATATATGAATTTACCTATATAGTATATCTTATATCTTACATATTATGTAGTACATATCACGTATTAGATACTATATCTTATATACTATGTTTTCTGTATATATTATTTCTCATACATGACAGGTTTTGCATGATATATTACATTGTAAATCAGACATCATATATCGTATGGCAGTTGTATGGTATATATTACAGATCATATATTATACGTTGCACATGATGTCTTGCACATCCTGTAATATTACATTGTATTATACCAGTTTTTATCATACCACATCATATCATATCATATTATTCTACCATTAGAAAGGATGTGTTGTATTGTAGTGCAATAGAGTATATCATGCTATATGGTATTATATGGAATATATTGCAATAAAACACACTACGTTATATTGAGTTAAGTTAACGTATTTTATGCTTTCTACTATACCGTGCTATACTAATATTAATTCTAATACTAATACGTATGCTAGTGCTAGTGCTAATACTAATACTAGTACAAGTACCTATGCTATGGTATGACATGACATGGTAGGAGATGCAAGTATGAGGTATGGTACTACATCATGTGTTGCTAGATTAGATGGTACCATATTACAAGGTTTTAGTATGGCACATACTAGTATATTGTTTTATGTTGTGATATATGATATATGATACTATATCAGAATGAAGTATATATCTGTCTCCTCTGGGGAATATAAGGGTGGTTGTTGCTTTGCTCCTTGGGTATTTGTGGATCGGTCATGACGATAGTGGTCGTGATGAATAAGAAGAAATGAGCTTCCTGTGGAGAGCCATTTTCAGCAAGATGTGGACGATGATGACCGCACCCACAACGAGGATCACAAGGACGATGGTGGTGATCATGATGACGGTGATGATGGTGGCAGTGTTGGCGATGATGATGCAGATGGCGCGTCGAGGATGATGTTACTCTGGTGATGAAGAAGATGGTGGTGGTGGTGGTGGTGCTTGTTAGGTGTCTACATCATGAGGCTCAGGGCTCAGGGTTTAGGATCGCCGCACATGCAAGATTTTAGCAAAGATTCTTGAGGGAGGTGGGAGTTGAGCTTTAGAGCGCTGCAGGGGGCGGGCAGCGGGTCCAAAACGCAGGTGACCTTCCAGTTCGGTGGCAAAAAGGCCGGTCAGGCACCGGCACCTCAGGACGCCAAGGAAGCCGACGCCGTCAGCCTGGCATCGGCATCGACAGCGCCGACGGCCCTGGCGCCGGCGTCACCGGGAGCACCAGAACCGGAAGCCAAGGAAGCCGATGCCGTCTCGGGAGATCTGGTGTGGCCCCCGGGCCTCGTGGTGAAGATCCAGTGCCCAGATACCCCCCTGCATGGTCTCAAGGCCGTGACTTCGGAGGGGGATCAGTCCAGGGGCTTGGTGCCTCTGAAGCTGCTGAAGCCTCCCGAGGGCGTGCGGCCGGTGACGAGGATGAGGCCTTCTCTCTTCCTTTGTATTATATTATATTATACTATGTTATGTTATACTATATTGTATTGTATTATATTAAGCCGTTCCTAAGCCGCGGTTTAGGGGGTTCGGGGTTTAGGGTCTCCAAAAAAAGCCCATAAAGCCCAAAGCCCTGAGGCCTTCAGTTCTTGAGACCGTCCTCCCGAAGTTCGGCAACAAAGTTCTCGTCCTCCGGCCCGGTGACCCGGACCCTCCCGAGGGCACGCTGCAGTCCGTGGAGACCGACACCTTTACCTGCACGGTTCTCTTAGACGACGGTCAGTCCTTAAGTGGACTGCCCTACGATCAAGTCTGCAAGATCTGGGCAGGATAGTTTCACACCTGGACACCAAAGCACAGCCACAGAAAGGACAGCAGCATGAAGAATCCCAAACCCCGAAGATCCTAAACTCCTGAACGCACTAAACCCTCGCCCTCAACCCTAAACCCTAAACCCTAAACCCTAAACCCCTAAACCCCAGGAGCCAGACCAACTCAACCGTGCACTTCAACCCCCGAAAACTCACAACCCGAAGCCCTTCACCCCCAAACCTTGAGGGCTAATTCCAAGGCCCGGTTAGCGCTTCGGGGGCCCGGGTTTGGGGTTTGGGATGTGGAGGGTTCAGGGCTTAAGTTCAGGGTGCGTGTAGGGTTTTAGGGTTTAGGGTTTTAGGGTTGGGGGGGGGGTCTTAGGGCCAAGGCTCAGGGTTTTTTCAGGGTTTAGGGCTCATGGTGTCGGATCTTCATGGTCTTTTAGGATGTTTTGGGGTTTAGGGTTTTAGGGTTCAAGGATCTGAAAAAATGAGTAGTCGTATTCCCTTCTCACCCTAAACCCTAAACCCGAAGCCAAACCCTAAACCCTAAACCCGGTTAAGGCTTCTGGAGTATCGGATTCGGGGTTTTAGGGCTGGGGGAGTCTGGGCTCGGAGTCTTTCGTTTAGCTTCGAGCCGTAGACAAGTTGGGTCCTTCTCTAAATTGAGGACCCCTTAAAGGGATCTAGAAGGGTTCCTTCAGGGGATCTGTAGGGGTAGTACAAGGGTCGTTCTCTAAATGAGGGTCCCTTTTAGGGTCCATTTTAGAAGGGTGCCGTACTATATTGGAGATTAACAGCTCTAAATTAGGGTCCTTTTTAGGATCCTTGTTATAAGGCTGCCGTAGTATATTGGAAATTTGAAAAGAAACTGATTCAGAGAACTGCCCAGGTTGATCCAGCCGGACCGAAATGCAAACGCAGGAAATTGAAAGCTATAACTTTGTTCCTGAAGCCTTCAGAAGGCAAGCGCTGACTGGTGTCGAAAGGGCCAGGTATCCCACCAAGATTCAGCTTTAGTTGGCGTGGTTTTGCGCAAGGCCCTAGCTCTAAACACAAACTTCCATACCTAGCTGCGGGTAGCTCCTTTCGCCGTTGCCATGATGGAAACATGTGCCACGGTTTGTAACAGCGGCACTGAACCATCTGCGGTCGACGCCGGTGCTTCGACCGCTTTGGATGTGTACGTCGCACAGCTACTTGGACTCACCGGAGGCTTTTCACATGGCGAGCTCTTTTTTTCTGCCATGGATGACCCTGACCCCGAAGCGCCAAACCTGAACCCAAAATCCCAGATCTAACCCCGAAAGTCTGTAATCTATGCTGTACATCCCTGTAAAATCCATATTGTACATTCCCGTGAAATCCTAGTCGAACCCTAAAAGCTCATCAGCGCCTCGATAAATCCCCAAAAGAAACGGCTTCCAGAATTCCAGAACTGTAGAAAACACAGTCAAACCTGGCAAAACCCGTATAGACTTATAGAACTTTTGTTTAAGCCCCAAGCCCCCTTACCCGAACTAAACCTCTAAAACCTCAACCCCTGAACTGCTACACACCCCAAACCCAAAACCCTGAACCCTAAACCCTAAAGGCCCTAAAACCCTAAGCCCTAAACCCTAAGCCCTAAAAGCCCTAAACCCTAAAGGCCCTAAAACCCCTAAAAGCCCTAGAAGCCCCTAGGAGCCCTTAGAAGCCCTCGAACCCTAAAGGCCCTAAACCCTAAGCCCTAAACCCTAAAGGCCCTAAACCCTAAACCCCAAACCCTAAAGGCCCTAAAAGCCCCTAGAAGCCTTTAGAAGCCCCTGGAGCAAATTAAAGCCCTAAAGGCCCTAGAAGTCTTAGAAACCCTAAACCCCAAACCCTAAAGGCCCTAAAAGCCCCTAGAAGCCCTTAGAAGCCCTCGAGCAAATTGAGGCACTGGGACTCCCAGGAGGTGGGATGCCCCGACGTCCGCCAGCTCTCGAAAGTCTTGGAGACCTCGGGGAAGAATTCGCCTTTCAGGGGTTTCCCTTTAAAGGGTTTAGGGGTTTAGGGTTTAGGGGTTTAGGGGTTTAGGGGTTTAGGGGTTTAGGGGTTTAGGGTTTAGGAGTTTGGGGGTTTAGGGTTTAGGGTTTCGGGTCTAGGGGTGCTTTTGGGGTCCTTTAAGGGGGTTCCCGTTAAGGGATCCTTGAACTCCCTTAAAGGGTTCCTTTCAGGGGTCCTTTCTTTTAAAGGGTTCCGTTTTAAGGGGTCCTGTAAGACCGTTCCTTTACAGGGTCCTTTGCTGGATCCTTTAAGGGGTTCTTTCTTCAAGGGGTTCTGCGTAAAGGGATCCTTTAAAGGGTTCCTTTAAGGGGCAGGGCTCCTAGAAGGGTGTTTGTTTTTCTGGCTTCCCGGTTTTCTTGTAAGGGTTCCTTAAGGTCCTTTTTAGGTTCCCGCAAGGGTTCTAGACGGGTTCTATAAGGGTTCTTCAAGGGTGCTCCTAGGGTTCTGTGAGGGCTGTTTTGCAGGAGATGAGTATCTAAGGGTCCTACCAGGTGTCTGTAAGGTCTCTTTGTAACGGGTTCTTGCAGAGCTTTGGTTCTTTGCGTTTGGGCGTTGGGCTTAGAGGCTTCAGGGCTTTAGGATGTAGGACGTAAGGTGTGGAATCTAAGCCGGCTTGGGTTTAGGTGTTTAGGGTTGAGGCTTCGGGGCTGAGCATTAGGGTTAGCATTGCTCGTCACCTGATGCTGCTGCTCTCACTATCTGGCTGCCTGGCTGTCTTGTGATCGGTTGTGTGCCGCAGCTTGGCCACTGCGCATGCCCCTAAGCCTAAAACCTGCACCCTTCTGCGTGGTTGGGGACAGGGTTTCTTTCGGGATTATGGCTCGGGTTTGGTCTCGGAAACCAGATGTGAGGAGTCCCAAAACCCCGTATAAGAACCCTTATCAGAAGAACACCCTTTGTGGAACCTTTGTCGAACCCCACAAGAACACTTAGAAGATACTAAATTACTAAATCATCTAGGATCCCTCGGAACACCTGCTTGGACCCCTTCAGCCACCTTTGAAAGCAGGAGCGGCCGCACGAATTGCTGCAGAGTGCCCAGCTTCAGCAGCAAGCTCTACAGGCAGGGGCTCCGAGGAGTTGCTTTGGGTTTTGAGCGCTGTTGTTTTTGGTTTCGGGCTCCGGTCGGTTCCGGGTGTTGAGGGTTTAAGCACAATGACCGTTTTCGTCGTACTTCTAACCTTTCTTTTGTATTGGATGGTCGCGATGCTGATGCTGCGGTGGTGGTGGTGGTGGTGGTGGTGGCGGCGGCTGTGACTGTGACCTTGATCTGGTGACGACGACGATGGCGCTGATGAAATGAACCCTTTTTGTTGTCATCATGGTTACCATTCTTCTTCTTCTTCTTCTTCGTCTTCGTCCTTGCTCCATGCAGGCTTCCCTGCTGCATGCCGAACAGTCGCTGTTGCAATCGCGATTGGTTCTAACGCAGCTGGCCGGGAAGTTGCATCCGGCACCGGCAGCTGCTGCGCCGGTTCCTCACGAGGCGCGTTTGGGGGTGGGCCCTGGCATTAAGTCCTAGGGGCCGTAGGGTGTAGGGCTCAACGTCTAGAGTTCAGGTAGGATGGCGCGTAGTTTCATGCTTCTTTTTTTCAGAAGTGCTTGATTGTGTCTAGGTTTCGGGTGGAGTCCTGAACCCTAAACGCCAAACCCCAAACCTGAAACCCCAAACCCCAAACTCTAAACCCCAAACCTTAAACCCTGAATCCCAAACCCTAACCCTAAACACCAAACCCGAAACCCTAAGCGCCAGACCATACACCCTCGGTTCGTGAACTCAAAGGCTTAGAGCCGGGAGCTTGAAACCCTGAAGTCCTTGCCCGAGCCAGGGGGAGCTTCGGATGAATAGCCTCGTTGACGTTACGGTTTAGGGTTTAGGGTTTCGGGTTTAGGGTTTCGGGTTTAGTGCTGGGGGTGTGTACTATTTGGTACTCTGTGGGGAGTTGGCCTCCGTTAGTTGGGCCACTAAACCCAAACGCTGTGGAAAGGCTTTCTCCAAGCCTACGGTTACGGAGGGCGAGCCGCAGGCATCGGATTGAAACTCTAAGCGGCCCTAAGCCCTAAGCCCTAAGCCCTAAACCCCAAAGCCTAATCCGTTAGGGGCTTCGGTGTTTGAGGTGAGGAGTCGCAGGATCCAAGGTTTAAGGCCCCAAACCGGAGCTTTCGACCCTAAACCGTACCCTGGGGGAACCTTGAAACCCCCACGCCTTAAATTCACAAACCCTGAACCCTAAACCCTAAACCCCGAACCCTAATCCCTAAACCCCAAACCCTGCCAGTAGGGCCTAAGCCCTAGAGGACCTAAGCCCCAAACCCCCCCCCAACCCGAGGCGTTCTGCTCTAAAGTTGCCCAGGCTCCGCTGGCATCGGAGCCTCCTCCATCACCGTCTGTGCCTTCGGTGCCTTGTCGCGGTTTGGGGTTTAGGGTATAGGGGTTTAGGGTTTAGGGTTTAGGGTTTAGGGTTTGGGGTTGCATAGGGGTCGCAAGTAATTCGAGACTTACATAGTTGTACATGTAAGTATGTCTGTCTATGTCTATC